CCAGTGGTTGTACCAGCTCTCTGTGGCCACCCCAGAGGTTGTACCAGCTTTCTGTACCACCCCAGAGGTTGTACCAACTCTTTTGTGGCTTGCTTTTACCAGTGGTTGTACCAGCTCTGTGTGCAACCCGCAGAGGGTTGTACCTGCTCTCTGTGGCATCACCAGTGTGTTGTACCAGCTCTCTGTGGCTACCCCAGAGGTTGTACCAGCTTTCTGTGGCCAGGGGTTCTTCCCAGGTGTTGTGGTTGTACCAGCTCTTTGTTAGCAACAACGGTGGTTGTACCAACTCTATGTGGCCCCCCAGAGGTTGTACCAGCTCTCTGTGTCCACCCAGAGGTTGTACCAACTCTCTGTGGCAACACCAGTGGTTGTACCAGCTCTCTGTGGCAACACCAGGGGTTGTACCTGCTCTTTGTGGCAACACCAGTGGTTGTACCAGCTCTTTGTGGCAACACCAGTGGTTGTACCAGCTCTCTGTGGCCACCCCAGAGGTTGTACCAGCTTTCTGTGGCCACCCCAGAGGTTGTACCAGCTCTTTGTGGCAACACCAGTGGTTGTACCAGCTCTCTGTGGCTACCCCAGAGGTTGTACCAGCTTTCTGTGGCCATCCCAGGTGTTGTACCAGCTCTCTGTGGCCACCCCAGAGGTTGTACCAGCTTTCTGTGGCCACCCCAGGGGTTGTACCTGCTCTTTGTGGCAACACCAGTGGTTGTACCAGCTCTTTGTCGCAACACCAGTGGTTGTACCAGCTCTCTGTGGCCACCCCAGAGGTTGTACCAGCTTTCTGTGGCCACCCCAGAGGTTGTACCAGCTCTTTGTGGCAACACCAGTGGTTGTACCAGCTCTCTGTGGCTACCCCAGAGGTTGTACCAGCTTTCTGTGGCCATCCCAGGTGTTGTACCAGCTCTCTGTGGCCACCCCAGAGGTTGTACCAGCTTTCTGTGGCCACCCCAGTGGTTGTACCAGCTCTGTGTGCCCACCCCAGAGGTTGTACCAGCTCTCTGTAGCCACCCCAGAGGTTGCACCAGCTCTGTGTGGCCACCCCAGAGGTTGTACCAGCTCTCTGTAGCCACCCAAGAGGTTGTACCAGCTTTCTGTGGCCACCCCAGAGGTTGTACCTACTCTCTGTGGCCATCCCAGAGGTTGTACCAGCTCTGTGTGGCCACCCCAGAGGTGGTACCAGCTCTCTGTGTCCACCCAGAGGTTGTACCCACCCTGTAGCCACCCCAGAGGTTGTACCAGCTCTTTGTGTCCACCCCAGAGGTTGTACCAGCTCTCTGTGTCCACCCAGAGGTTGTACCCACCCTGTAGCCACCCCAGAGGTTGTACCAGCTCTCTGTGGCCACCCCAGAGGTTGTACCAGCTCTGTGTGGCCACCCCAGGTGTTGTACCAGCTCTCTGTAGCCACCCTAGAGGTTGTACCAGCTCTCTGTGTCCACCCCAGAGGTTGTACCAGCTCTCTGTAGCCACCCCAGAGGTTGTACCAGCTCCATGTGGACACCCCAGAGGTTGTACCAGCTCTCTGTAGCCACCCAATCTATTAGTAAGAAATTTTTATTCTATTCCTGTCAACATAATTGCATTTAGCTTCTTGTGACTTCAGACTCTTTCCTGAACTAATTCCCCACAATGACCAGCTAGAGGAAGTTTCACCTCTAAAAGTACACTGGCACCATACCCAGTACTATGATAATATATAGAACGTGTTTCCACAATGTTATAACGTTGATCAAATAATTTTAAAGAGCATTTTATGTTTTCTATTTAAGCATGGTGTATGTTTATAATGTGCATTTTCTTCTAACTGTTTGCCTGAAAGTCATGACATACAGAACAACTGATGGTAAAGAGTGAATGAATAGAGTACAGGGTAACTGCAGTCTACATGTAATTACTATAGCCATCATATGTCTTGAGAAAATTGCTTTAGAAAATGAATCTGTCTTTTCTGGGATAGGTCAAAGAGCCACCTGCTTTTCATGTCTTATGATGAGAGACAATTACTCAGAGTCCATTTCTTGTTGTGTTTCACAAAGCTATCGTAGCACTACGACTGTCGTACCTCCTATACTGGGCCCTGTTTCACAAAGCTATCGTAGAACTACGACTGTCGTCCCTCCTATACTGGGCCCTGTTTCACAAAGCTATCGTAGCACTATGACTGTCGTACCTCCTATACTGGGCCCTGTTTCACAAAGCTATCATAGCGCTATGACTATCGTACCTCCTATACTGGGCCCTGTTTCACAAAGCTATCAGAGCTCTAATGACTGTCGCACCTCCTATACTGGGCCCTGTTTCACAAAGCTATCCTCCTGTCGTACCTCCTATACTGGGCCCTGTTTCACAAAGCTATCATAGCACTATGACTGTCGTACCTCCTATACTGGGCCCTGTTTCACAAAGCTATCATAGCGCTATGACTGTCGTACCTCCTATACTGGGCCCTGTTTCACAAAGCTATCATAGCGCTATGACTGTCGTACCTCCTATACTGGGCCCTGTTTCACAAAGCTACCATAGCCTATACTGTCGCCCTGTTATACTGGGCCCTGTTTCATGCTGCATAGCCTACTACTGTCGTGACCTCCTATACTGGGCCCTGTTTCACAAAGCTATCATAGCGCTATGACTGTCGTACCTCCTGTACTAGGCCCTGTTTCACAAAGCTATCATAGCGCTATGACTGTCGTACCTCCTATACTGGGCCCTGTTTCACAAAGCTATCGTAGCACTATGACTGTCGTACCTCCTATACTGGGCCCTGTTTCACAAAGCTATCATAGCACTATGACTGTCGCATCCTCCTGTACTGGGCACCTGTTTCACAAAGCTATCATAGCGCTAGCACTACTGTCACTGTACTGGGCCCTGTTTCACAAAGCTATCATAGCTCTTATGACACCTCCTATACTGGGCCCTGTTTCACAAAGCTGTCATAGCACTGCGACTGTCACACCTCCTCCTATACTGGGCCCTGTTTCACAAAGCTATCATCGTACGACTGTCATGACCTCCTATACTGTCATAGCACTGTGATAGCTTTGTGAAACTGGGCTCTGGATGATAAAATAATGAAACAGAATATACACTACATAAAATGCTTCTTTACTCTTCTGATAGTAATGGTAATAGTCCGCTTATCTGGCACTCATATCCTGACACATTGCCTGCTCGCAGCACTACGCACATTACTTTCCCCAGTCATAGGACACTATCATACTTTCCGATACTCTTTTCAACTCCCTGGGAATCATACAGCCATGCTGCCTCTTAGGTGCAATGAATAAAAAACTCACATTGCCAGCACACCCTCATGGGTACCCATTTTACAGCTGGGTGAACTCAGACAATGTGGATCTAAGTATCTTGTCCAAGGATACTACGCAAATGTGCTACCTCGGGACCCGAACCTAGGTGCCTCCAGCACTCCGTACACCTGGGCCTTCAGCGTGATAGGCAGACAGCTTACCACTGCACTATTGCGCTCTACCAATCCATCATATAATTAAATGTCCAGCTCCATGTGTTATAATTCCTGGTGTAGTGTTGTTGGAATGTGGTTGATGATAACCCTGCAGCATCAACATCACAGGTACCCCAACAACATGTTTTTGGTCAGTTTTGTAATAGCTAGACTTTGCAATTTGCTGTACAAAGCTGGGATTGTTCAAGCTGTCTTAGTAAACAAATACAGCAAGTTTGACGCCCAAATACTTGATTCATTTTGGCTTTCATACCAAGACACTTGAAGATCGGGGTTAGAATTGGTCTTCAGCAACCCATGCTTGTCATAAGAGGCGACCACGGGGTTAGGTGGTCATGCTCACTGACTTGGTTGCCACTTGTCTTCATATCCCAGTTGCATAGATTTATGTTCATGCTGTTGGTCACTGGATTATCTGGTCCAGACTTGAATATTTATAGACCGCTGCCATATAGGTGGAATATTGCTGAGTGCAGCGTAAAACTAAACTCACTCACTCTAATAGTCCCTCTAATATTGTGGGGTTTTGTGTCAAAACTTTTATGAACAGGGAAAAGGAAAAAAGGCACTGAAAAACTGCAGACTTATAATAATAATAATAATAATTAATGATACATTAACAATATTTATAACGAGCCTTTCCAGGCTTCATATCCTGCTCAAAGCACACAAAGGATGTTCAAAGCGAACAATCTGAAAATACATCAATACTCTCTTTCCACTCTGTGGGTATCCAAAAACCTAATGACATAAATCAACAGTACCACTCCATTTCCAGGTTCAACATTGCTGAGGTACATCAAACCATAGATTTGACACAGTCTTAACTAGTTGACATATTCATGACAAGTATTTTACCATTGCGGGGAATATTGATGACTTTGTCTTCTTGTTTCAAGAGTAATGCCTTATTATCAGCGTCAGAACAAAACAGCAATAATTTATTGAGCTAATTGGTTGCAGCAGCCATCAAATTGACAAGATAGTGTACGAACTGCCTTAATAAAAAAAAATTGCATGCAGTCAATATTATTCATGTTAAAGAATTTGCTAAAATAAATGTTACTCTAACCGTGTACCAATAGGAGCCTACTAAGGGATTTTGTAAATAGACTTATTTCAAACTAATGTCAAATAAAATTAGTTTTATAATTACCCTCTTGAATTACTTTTGTATTAATGAATTATACTGACCCGATTAGAATGAGGGTCTAAATAAAAAGTATACTATCCATTATTCTTTATTGTAAGTTCTAGCAGTATCAAAGGGTATACTATAAGTTGTAGCATTTTGATGAGGGGTTTTATGCATCCCATGTTAGGTTTTATTCACGACCCATAGGCTCTGTGGATAAAACCTAACGAGGGATGCATAAAACCCTGTATACCCCCAATCATAATGCTACAACGAATTTATCCCACCGCATGATTATATCTCTCATTATGTAAATTTAACATTAAAACAAACTGAAATTCAATGATATATTTTACTAACGTGGTACTGACCGGTCAGTGCGAACCAGTGGTTCATGGTTCACTGACTGCCGTGGATGTGGCTTTTTCCATGGGGTGGGGTATAAATGATGTATTCTCCCTCTCAAAGATTTATACCCCGCTTGGGCTGTGTTTGGCCTTGCACCGGGCATACATGGTAATTTGTCCAAGGTCACGTGAACCAATCAGAGATGGACATTCTTACATGAGGTAGGACAAAATAGACAATAATTTGTAGCAAATATGATTGTCACAACCACCAATTGTCAACACCACTAACTGACAAGATATGGATCTAGTGTTGGAGACTGTAGATAGAAGAAATTTTCACTTCAATCTTGTGTACGTGTGTACTGTAGACCATACAGAAAAATTGTGAGGTGTTTAAACAACAATGGTGTAACGTCATGTCAAGGGGAGGTAACTCTATCGGTTAGGAGGGAGACATACCACTAGGGATAGCTATGACTTAGGGTTAAAATTTTCATTTCATTTTCTGTATGTGTCTGTGGAAACCACAGAATTAAGGCAACCATAATCCAGAGGGAATGTTTACGCTATCATTATGGTTTTATACATCACACATTAGGTTTTCTACCACATGAGGACAACCATAGTTTAAATGATAGAGTAACTGTAGATATTTAGGTTGTGGATTACTGGACATGATTTTATATAATTTGACCTTTTTTATTATTTAAAAGCTAAGTTGCAGCAGTAGTATGTAAATTTACCACTAGACGTCATAAATGATACATCAGTTGCTTATTGGGGTCATATTGTACCAAAATTACAAAGTTCTCAAATATAGACTTAGTGAGATACCAGCTTCATGTATGCAGTATTTATGACCTCGACCGTAAGAAGATGGCCCAGAGAAATGTACTAAAAGTAATGAAGAACACATGCATCATCACTACCTCATCTCCATCCCGTCACCAGCCAGACAGTATTCATCATCAGCTGAAGCCTTCAGGAGACATGCAATAAATTTCATTATTGATAAATCATCAGGGGAATATTCTAATGTATCAATGTATTTATTGGAAAGGAAATAGATTCAGGTAAAGATCACTTCCCACTGGACATAAAATGGAATGTGTTTGTGGTCAAGTTGGAATAAATGATTACATTGGAGTGGATTTCTTTGGAATCATTAAATGCTAAAAGTAATTAATTTGAGTAATTTGTCCTAATTTATTCATGGGTGCAGGTGTATTTTAAGGTGCATGTGTCATTTGGGGGACGAACATGATTTATTGACTCGAATGTTCGATATGTTTATCAACATCGCATACAGCAATAAGATGACGGTTTGATAAGTGCTCAAGTCAGCATTCAGTGAGGGATGTTATGGCAGCAATGCACACAATTACAGTCTGTTTGGCTCAAAAGTGGACCGATGAATTGCAATCTAACTTGAAAACTAATAAACATAAAATACTCAATGAAACACTGATCATAATCAAAACGTGAGACCAACTCTGTGAGGTTTTTGCAGAATTTATGTCCTAAAAATAAAAAAGTTGTTAACAAACTATCATTAAAATATTGTCACAGTTCACTATGTTTTACGAGGGAGGAGTGCAGAGAAAGGGACAGCCAGGTGTGCGAGAAAGGATGGAGACGGCACAGCACAGGTTAATGAATCAATAACTGTCGGCACTTGTGCACGTGCTTCTCTAACACCTGGCTGTCCCTTTCTCTGCACTCCTCCCTCGTAACAAATAGTGAACTGTGTCAAAAGTTTAGTGATAGTTTGTTAAACAACGTTTTTAATTTTAAGACATAAATTCTGCAAACAAATGACAGAGTTTGTCTGATGTTTTGATTATGATCAGTGTTTCATTGAGTATTATATGTTTATTAGTTTTCGAGTTAGATTGCAATTCATCTGTGCACTTTTGAGCCAAACGGACTATAGGGTGTGATCACAGACAGACAGACAGACAGTAGTTTATTTATGGCTCACTTCTGTACATACAAATGATATTTACAAACATTCAAAAGAGTAAACTGTACAGAACCATTCAAAAGAGAATTATTAGAGACAAAAATCATTATAAAAACATAAAAATTATCAAAACATTATTAAGTATAAAAAAGGGTTTTCCTTCTGTTGAGGATTAAGAAGCAGATTTTGGCTAAAACATAAGATTAGGATTGTTGAATATAAAGCATAATGTATTGATATCAGGTTTATCTAAAAATTCTGGACATAAATTAACACCATCATTTAAAAGTAGCACCCTGATATCGTCATATAGTACACAGCAAAACAATACATGTATTTCATCTTCCATATCATTAAGACATTTAAAACATTTCCTATTTTCTAAAAGAATAATTTCATAATGAACAGTTTCAATTCTTAAAGGGGCTACACCACATCTAAATTTTGCTAGTGCAGATGTGTAGCGTCTTTGCAAATGCATTAAAATATAACTTTCAGTAAAATAGCAATTCTTATCTTCTCGATACAACCTAAGTTTATTGACCCCCATCCTTCCTTCCAGGGTCTAGATTTTCAAAGTTGTCTTACCGTAAAGTGCCATTCATTAATTTATGACCTTCGAAAATCTTCCAGTTTACTAAACTGGTCATACCAAAATGAAGTATACTCATTCACGATAAAATTTTCATCAAATTAAGCAACAATTAGATGATTTATGAACATTAACAGGTGCATTGTAAGCCAGTATCTTGGATCTTTTTCAAACCTGCATGTAATCAAGTAAGTCACTGGATCAGACTGTGCAATCCAGTTATCTAACAATATATGAGCACCTGTGAAGGTCCGGGTTAGAATATTGGCCTTCAGTAACCCATGCTTGTTGTAAGAGGCGACTAACGGGATCAGGTGGTCAGGCTCACTGACTTGTTTGACACATGTCATCGGTTCCCAATTACGCTGATCGATGCTCATGCTGTTGATGACTGGATTGTCTTGTCCAGACTCGATTATTTACAGACCGGCGCCATATAGCTGGAATATTGCTGAGTGCAGCGTAAAACTAAACTCACTCACTCACTCTAACAATGAGCATTGCATGCTGGGGATATATTGTTGCACAATCCCATACACATTGCTAATGATAAATACATCAAACACATCATTTCCCTGATGAATGCTTATTCTGGGCACCAGTCATGACTGACAATATAAGATGGTCATGTCACTGTTGGCGTGTTTAAGAGCTGAGGAGTTCTTCTTTCTAGATGCTGAACGATTGTTGTAAAATAGTCAGCATTCATCAAAAATATTTGTGACACATTAATTAAATCAATGGACTAACAGCCTCTACCAAATTTGTCATGTCTCATTAATTAAGATCAGTAAGTAGTCATGCCAAATGTTCCACCATACAATTAATCAACATTCTTGTATGGGGTTCTCTAAGATAGCAACTGGCCAATCCGATTGTCTGAATCTGGGATAAATTATAACAGATTATAATACCATGAAACCTGATATAATGAAAAACGATAGTCATAGATGTTGAAAGTATCATGCTAATGACAGTCAGATACAGCCAATCGGACATCAGTTATTGGCTGAGCAAGATCATGTAGACTAGTTAGAGATTATCCCTGACTAATATCTTTCAGTGTATTCCAGGAGCTTCCTAAGACTGCCAGGATGTTGTCAGAGATTGATTGAAGGAAGATATGATTACTGAAATATGATAGAGTCATATATTTTAAAGCTGATTTGCTAAAACATTCAATTAAAACAGACAAACATCTGCATAGTCAAAAACACAACTGGCATTTAAAACAAATTTTATGTATAGGATAAAACATGACCCGGTCATGTTAAGAAGTAAGGATGTTTTCCCGAGGAGATGCCTGTTTTATCGTGACTTATAAACGGACGGTTTATAATCATTGATAACTGATCTTGGACTTGTGATGTCGGCAACTTAGAAACCTGAAGACATTAATCCTGATAAAGGTGAAATATTGACAGCAACGCTACATGCATATTCTTTGTCTGTCTCAGGAGCATTCTTGTTATTTATTATTATTTTTTGTACATGATGATGATTTTTTTTGTTATTATTATTATTATTATTATTTTGTACATGATAAAACAAATTAGCCTTAAAAGATAGGGGAGGGGAGGTGTTATTGATTTTATATATGACATGCGGATGGGGGGGATGTCACTTACTTTTTACACAAATTTTTAGGGGGATCATTCACATTGAACATGTTTCTCCATAAAAATCATCATCAACCCCCTAGCCATAAAGTATGAACGGTCCGTTAGCACCCCATCAACGGTCCATCTTCCTGCACTGTCGCCTCAATCCAGTGATGGATATCATGGCATCAATAGACATGATAGATACAATAACATGCCCTCTTTGTCACTCACCACAACATCCAGTGATGGACCATCAGATGTATCTAGCAATCAATTCAACCAGGATCTTTACAGCAGAAATACACACCGTGTATACGATACAAGGAGTGTGCAGCAATAACATGACTTGGTTATTTGCACTCATAAAACCTAATTCATTAGAAATGATAGAAATATCTCATCAAATATGAATCAAGGTTATTTGTATATTTTCCCCAAAGTGCTGTCAATATATGTCTTTACTTGTTTACGAATCCCATGTCATACATTTTGTATGTTTAAAACACACAATGTTCTAGCTGTTGGCAGTCCACAGCAAATTAATGGATGCCATATACATGTACATGATTTTTTTGTTATCATCTTATCTGCTATTTTCTGTATCTCATCTTATTGAGGTTAACAGTTATGAGTACAGCTTGTGCTGTTCCTGTTGTTAAATTGATCACCAGGTCTCTGGTCTGTCATAGTAGGTCAGTAAGATGTGAATTGGGTGGTCGCAATAGGGTATGTAGCTCTCATAGCTCCCATAGCTGTATCAATGCTCATGACGGGGCGGTCGGATAGCCTAGTGGTTGAAGCGTTCGAATGTCATGCCGGAGACCCGGGTTTGATTCCCCATATGAGTACAATGTGTGAAGCCCATTTCTGGTGTCCCCTTTCGTGACATTGCTGTAATATTGCCAAAAGCAGCCTAAAATCACACTCATTCACTCACTCACTCACTCACTCACTCACTCACTCACTCACTCACTCACTCACTCACTCACTCACTCACTCCTCACTCCACTCACTCACTCCACTCCTCTCTCACTCACTCACTCACTCACTCACTCACTCACTCACTCACTCACTCACTCACTCATGCTCGTGGTATCAGCCCCTAGTTTGATACAACATTTATTGCCTCACTGTGTAGCAAGTGACACCTGTACTGTTTCCTCAGTGTAGACTATATCACTGCAAGGAGCTTGAAGAAATGCAGCATTGTGCTCATGGTGTGATATAAAGACTTCAAGTACAGACCAGTTTTAGAGGATAGTTGTTCATGCTATTTCATGCCAGTACACAGGATTCATTTTAAATGTATTTCAATGCACCTATTTTGGGCTTGCTGGAAGCAACCTGAATGATTCAATGATAAAGTTTAATATGCTGGTGATGTTGCAGGTCAGAGATCTGGTTCGTGATGCGGCACGAAATCGTCTGGATATGTCAGCTGAGTGTAGCTATCATCAGCCTCTCAGAGACAATACTTGTACAATACCTCAGCTACAAGGTACGTTCCAGTTGTATGCCTTACCATCACCCCAGAAAGTAAAGAATGAGTATAGTTTTACGCGGCTCTCTGCAATATTCCAGCTATATGGCGGTACCCCAGTAAGAAGATAAGATGTTACAATTATACTCTATTCTTATATACCACACCAGGTTTAAGGTATATACCATTCTGTTGTTAAACCTCACGTTATTGGTAATCTGTCTTATATCTTACACCTATATAGGTAAACTAGGTTCATAATAACTTTAAATAATGTTTTTTTATTTTGTTATAACGTTATATACTGTAAACTGTACGCGAAGATCCGTGTTAGTGTCTGGTCTTAAGCAACCCATGCTTGTCTAACAGAATGGGCTTGTTAAAATTAGGCTCTCTGACTTGGTTGACACATGTCAGATCCCAGTTGCGTAGATCGATGCTCATGTTGTTGATCACTGGACTGTCTGGTCCAGACTCGATTATTTACAGACTGTGTCAAATAGCTGGAATATTGCTGAGTGCGGCATAAAACTAAACTCACTCACTCACTCCAGATGAAAGGTCATTATCAACAGCTACCCTAAGGCTTCCAGACCTACCATATCATGTGAAATGAACACATCACAGTTGAATTAACTTTTTGTAAGAAACATTTCTGTTTTACAAATATGCAAAATGAAGTATTTTTCAAAACAACAAACATTTAATTCATTTTAAAAAACAATATGTTACATCCTGGCTGACAATGCTGGAGACTGGACTGTCTAGTCCAGACTCTAGAGATCACTGCCATATAGCTGGAATATTGCTGAGTGTAGCATTAAACAACAAACAAATGATATGACTGTTTGTCCATGTTTCAGGGCAATATCTTGCAGCAGATTCTCACGTTGGAGTTTGTGGTGGAGCTCATCACCACAGTCCCCTTCATCTTCACAGTGAGTACACATCACAATACAGGACACTTGACCCGTGAAGATCCGGGTTAGAATTGATCTTCAGTAACCCATGCTTGACGTAAGAGGCGACTAACGGGATTGGGCAGTCAGGCTTGCTGACTTGGTTGACACATGTCATTGTATCCCATTTGTGTAAATTGATGCTCATGCTGTTGATCACTGGATTGTCTGGTCCAGGCTCAATTATTCACAGACCACCGCCATATAGCTGGAATATTGCTGAGTGCGGCATAAGACTAAACTCACTCATACATGATACTGCATTTATCTGTACACTGAACAGGGTAGTAGGACTTTGTTGTTGTTTTTTATTCAAAACTAAAGCAATAAATGAGAAAAATTTCCTATTTATCTCAACAGGAATACCAACAGTTGCAACTAGACATTAGGGATGTCACGATACATAAGTTTCATGAATCGATGCGTATCATGATACCCATGTCACTTCGATTCGATCCGATACGTATCACGATACCTATTTTCACAGCATTATTGCGTGAATTTAGTTACATTTTGAACATTAATGTTTCATATTTTATAATTGTCCATGAAAAGATCAATATTTTTGATTCACAGAGATTAAAAAGTTCTAATTTCCCATCTTTGTGCATGAACAATAATCATTTATAACTCTCATAACATAAAAACCGTGATACAATTGCAAAATGTAAACGATACATAAACATATTTAAACCGATACTTTCAAAACTAAATATCGATACAGTTTTGAATGTATATTTATAATTGTTTCGTCTTAGAAAAAGTATTGATGCATCGATGTATTGATGTATCATGGCATCCCTACTCAACATGCTTGCTATTAAATACAATGTCAGTTTAGAAGCAAGTAAAATTAAAAAAGCTCGCCTGACAGTACATTCAATTCAGCAAGTCTGAGACAAATCTAGGGAACATTCAGCAAGTCTGACAGTACATACACCACACAAAGCAACATTCAGCAAGTCATTACACCCACACAAGCAACAAAGTCTGAACATTCACCACACAAGCAACATTCAGCAAGTCTGACAGTACATTCACCACAACATTCAGCAAGTCTGACGGTACATTCACCACACAAGCAACATTCAGCAAGTCTGAGCAACATTCAGCAAGTCTGACAGTAAGTCTGACAGTACATTCACCACTCAAGCAACATTCAGCAAGTCTGACAGTACATTCACCACACAAGCAACATTCAGCAAGTCTGACAGTACATTCACCACACAAGCAACATTCAGCAAGTCTGACAGTACATACACCACACAAAATTCAGGTACATTCACCACACAAGCAGTTTGCCTCAACACTGGTATAGACCCGCAGACATTCACATGTGCTTATCTTGAACACTGTGCAAAATTGGCCTTAAAATCAACATGCCGGAGTCAAAGTTCGTCAGCCTAAACATGACAGTATATTTTTGTGAAATTTGATTCGGCAAAGGTACCAGTAAAATATACCAAATTGCCAATCATAAATCGTAGGGTAACTCTGATTGCACAACTCAGTGGACATTGTTTTGATTTATTATGGTCATAATGATCCACAGAAAGGGAACTTTTGAGAGAGGTGGATAAATTAATCCTGTTAAAATTTATAACGCCAGTCAGGAAAGGGACATTTCAGAAGTTTTATCCCGCCAACATTTTGCATGTCATTGTCTAGCAGGCAGGCATATATTTCACAATCTGATCTTGTCAGGAATCTTTGAGCCTCTTGTGTTTTCCTGAAAATAGATCAGAAAGGCTACAGTAATAATAGAAGACATGAAGTAATTAGGTTACAGAATGCCAGTTGGCTATTGCTGCTCAATATAGACTTGGCTGGCTTGTGTTGAACTGACCATCAGCTTGTTTCATGTCTGGCCATCTTTGATGAGGATGTCGCTTCTTGTCAGGGAGAAATGCTACAGTCAGCTGTACTTAGAGTCGCCTGGTAATGGCTTGTACATTATGGTGCTAGAACCAGACAATGTCAGGGATATACCCAATATTGTCTAGGCATGATGATATGGAATCAGCCAATCACAGAGTCTTAACCAGGTGATTAAATTCATCTCTTTCAAAGAGTGTGTGTGTGAACATGTGACCCATTCAGTGAGTGAGTGAGTGAGTGAGTGAGTGGGTAGCCTAAGTGACGAAGTCATTGCGTATGTGACCCAGTGATCCATTGAGTGAGTTAGTGACTGACCAGTAGTGAGAGAGTTAGTAACCAATAAGTGACCAAGTCATGGACTATGTGAGCAAGTGATCCATTGATTGAGAAAGTAAATAACCCACTGAGTGACCAAGTCTGTAACTGATCCAATAATTAAGTTAGAGAGTGACCAGAGGATGAGTGCTAAATCAACCTCTTAAACTGTTATACCACTGATATTTTCAACTAAACCAACCAACTACACAACAGAAAAATGCAGGAAAACTAGCAACAGTTTTTATTTTTCTATTTTAATCAATCTAATTGGTTAGCAAAAATTTATGAACAATATATTCGAAAAAGAATGGCCTTAGTATAGCACCTTGAATTACCCCTTGAATATATAGAGGTTATCAGCCAAGGCTGTTCCCGGATCAAACATTTCATAGATTAGGAATAAATCAATATATATTACATAAGTATTATTGGCACCCTCAATATTTACAGTAACTTTTCATTGGTAATGTATGATAGGAAGATAATCTCTCATCACATATTGTCATTCTTAAAATGATAAATGTTTTTAATGTATTTTGACTCCATGAAGTAACCACACATTATAATACAATGGAAACCATTAAACATTATATGGCAAACAAATGGTATTTGGAGCCTTGTTGTTGTCCATAATCCCACTGTAAGAAAGATCCACTGAACATACGGAGAATGAAAGTCAATACTTTATACAGCAAACAGACATTGTATTGATTTATGGATCTAAAAAGTTGTACCTGTGAGGTTGCCCCATTTGTATATTTATCTGATCTTAATACCAAGTTTATTGAATTACTTTATCACATCGATAATATATTATATGATAATTGTGATTATGGAGTAAGTGTTGTCATTAACGATGCTATCGCATAGTTTTATGTATGTCATGCGTCAGGAACTGCCCAATCAGTGAATTACACAGTTACCCCGTACCCTGGTACCACAATCATGCTGACATGATCAATAAATTGGTCTTGCTTCATTGCATAATCCCACAGGATGAGCAACGATTTTCCGTAATGAACAAAAATAGCTTCTTGTAAAAGCTCAGGGCATATGTTTTCATAACAATGTTATACAAGTCTGACATCTGAAGTATTGTCCCTTTATAGATTAGATAACAAGCAGATTAACATAAGTCAATACAATACTTTATAATGACATTTTTCATGTCAGGGCATTTGTCAGGTTGTTATTGAAAACATAGTTCAAGTGTAACTTCTAAAATACCTTTTCAAAACAGATTTCAAATTGATATAGAAATAGAAGTGACAAAATCCTTTTGAAAGAAAAAGTCTAATAATTATATGTAAAAGTGACGAAACCCTTTCTACATCCATTACAAATGTCAGCTAAAAATCAGATTCAATTGTACAGTTCCGACTTTATAATGAGGATATGTTTGTGAATGACTATAAAATAGGAATGATACCAGGGGTTCACAAACAGGTGAGCATATGCAAAGAGTAGTCAATTGTTTACCTGATAGAAATAGGGAACACATGGTACAAGTCAAACAGGGAATTGTATCGGACATCATTTTGATCACTGAGGCATCAGATTCTGAAATTTCCTCCACATGTCTACCATTAGACATTTTGATAGCTTCACTGAGGCCTTGAATGTTGTAACCTGATCAGACAAGTAAACAAGGGTTAGAGATGCCCTTTGAAAGCTTGGTAACTTGAGGGATTCCTTTATTCCCTCCTTAATCAATTGTTAAAGTCCACCAACATCGATCACTGGAGTAAAAGTCTGTCTTCTCAGTTTAATTCTGTCACTCTCTTTTGTTTGATTAGCAACGACATTGTTTACAATCTGTTGATATTCCCTTCTTGTGGAAATGGGCAATGTCCTGTTGTTGTGCATATCTAAACATATAAACTTTGATTGCCCACACAAAGGGATTATGCATACTAGTTGACGGTTTAAACCAGGAAATTGTGCAGGTCTCATCCATTAACGAAAGCGCTCGGATAGAGGGTCACACATTCTTTGGGACTATAAAAAACATTTGCAAACAATGAAGAAACCACCCAGTCTGCAGATTGCACAATGGGTTTGCATAATCTTCAGATTTTGTGACCCGTGAAGATCCGGGTTAGAATTGATCTTCAGTAACCCATGCTTGTCGTAAGAGGTGACTAACAGGATCTGGAGGTCAGGCTCGCTGACTTGGTTGACATATGTCATCGTTTCGTTATTGCGCAGATCGACGCTCACAATGTTGATCACTGGATTGTCGGGTCCAGACTCGATTATTTACAGACCGTTGCCATATAGCTGGAATATTGCTGAGTGTGGCATACAACTAAACTCCCCTCCCCTGCTTCCCTCCCCTGAATAAGTCACTAAAAGATGGTACTTCTTGTCACCCTGCCTGACAGTTGGGATTATGGGGTAAAACAAGAACTCTTCAGCATGGGACCAGTGAAGATCCGGGGTAGAATAGGTCTTCAGCAACCCATACTTGCCACAAAATGCGACTATGCTTGTCATATGAGGCGACTAACGGGATCGGGTGGTCAGGCTCGCTGACTTGGTTGACACATGTCATCGGTTCCCAATTGCGCATATCAATGCTCATGCTGTAGATCACTGGATTGTCTTGTCCAGACTCAATTATTTACAGACCGCCGCCATATAGCTTGAATATTGCTGAGTCCGGCGTAAAACTAAACTCACTCACTCTTCAGCATGGAGTCAGTATACTGTGTCTGAATATTCAAGTTAAACTGTGGCATGGTATCTATCTTGACTTCACACCAGTACAAGCAGCCACACCGAGCCACTTTATATGAGTGCAGTAGTTAAGAAGGCAATATTGAGCCCCAGTTCCCTTCACCTCTCCTCAAAATATCCAGATTTTCTTCTTATCGACATTTTGGATTCCTAATGAGGCCAATATGTTGTTATGCACATTTCCCTTTCCCAAACTACATGTAGCATTGGGCTGCTTCAGACACACAGGAAGACAAGCACAAATATCCTTGTCAATTTAACATCACAGTTCTATTTAGACAAATGAAATCCCTGCCAATATTGAAAGCTAGTATAAAGATGCTATCAAACCAGAAAGCTTGAATGATGACATTGTTGCTGTAGAGAGCTTTGGTAACACTGTCATCAATGAAGGAAGATTCACAAATGTCACAGGCATTGTTATGAGGTTCTTCTGAGATTAGTACAGGTCTCACAGATAAAGACAGTTCTGGATGATTTGATTATTGTGGCTGACAAGATTCATGCCCTTAAACCAAAAAATGCAATTACAATGACTTGAGAAATGACATTTCGTCACCATGGTGAGAATGTTTAATTTGACGCTGTCGTAAAAATAATCAGTTTGTCTGATTAGTAGAATCATGAATGGCAGGTTGGCAAGGGAAAAAAATATATGTAACCTGGTTTTTAGATCTGAACTATGTTGCACTCCACAACAGGAGGTATCCCAAGACCATTTTTGCTATGAGACCCAAACTAATATTATTTTTGTGTAAACAATCATAAACAGTCACATATTCATAGTTACAAAACACCAATTCTTTCATATTACCGTAGTTAATCTGTCATGGCTTGATGTATTACACTTGCGTAACCTTGATTCGTGGATATAAGGGAACTGCGGCGAAAATCATATTTTAAATGCACAATTTCCTTTTGTATTCTCACTGATTATTTTATTCATTGATTCATCAAATTGAAAATGCCTAATATTCCAGTCGGAATGAAACGTTTGTTTACGGAAGCCATTTGCAATCATCACCCATTCGTGTGCCCACAAAATGTGACGTCACCTTGTTTCGTGGATTACGTGAGTCGGTTACTTTATACCACTATGTGCGACTGTAAAAGATTTGGTTCCCCATAGTAAAGGTTCGGTGAACTTTTCATTCCAACATTTGTTCCTGTAATAGTGCATGCGGAACAATTATTTCGTTCCGCACACACAGAATTTATTCGGGTAAAGAGGAACTTCCACACACATCATAAAGTGTCTAAAAGAGGGTTTTGTTTGTTGGGGTGATCTTAAAAATTAGGGCGGGGGGAACGGAAAGGAAAAAAGATTTTCCTCACGGTATTTGTTCCATATGGAACAAATCATGTGGCTATCAAGAAGCAATTATCATGTGTGAAAGTTACTTAATTTTTTTAATGAAAATACATTGTAGATTCCCCAGAATGCGAACTGATGATTCTAAATGAATCTTGTGTTAAAAAGAGTTCAGTTATTATGTAACCAAGTTACCTTCATTAATCAGGTTACAGTCAGTAGCCAGGTTACAGTCAACATGTAATCAAGTTACAGTCAGTCAGTAGCCAGGTTACAGTCATTATGTGACCAAGTTACAGTTGGTCAGTAGCCAGGTTACATTCAATATGTAACCAAGTTAGAGTTAGTCAGTAGCCAGGTTACAGTCAACATGTAACCAATTAACAGTCAGTCAGTAGCCAGGTTACAGTCAACATGTAACAATTAACAGTCAGTCAGTAGCCGGATTACAGTCAACATGTAACCAAGTTACAGTTAGTCGGTAGCCAGGTTACAGTCACTATGTAACCAAGTTACAGTCAGTCAGTAGCCAGGTTAGTGAACATGTAACCTAGTTACAGTTAGTCAGTAGCCAGATTACAGTCAACATGTAACCAAGTTACAGTTAGTCAGTAGCCAGGTTACAGTCGACATGTAAACAAGTTACAGTCAGTAGCCAGGTTACAGTCGACATGTAACCAAGTTACAGTTAGTAGCCAGGTTACAGTCAACATGTAACCAAGTTACAGTCAGCATGTAACCAAGTTACAGTTAGTAGCCAGGTTACAGTCAACATGTAACCAACTTGAAGTTAGTAGACATCCCGGATGTTGACAAGTTGGATGAGTCCATTTTGCATTCAATAATGACTGGAATAGGTTAGGCCTACGGTATTTGTTCCTGTTCGATGGAATATTTGCCGTATGTGCGGAATTTTTATTCGTGTCATCCATTCTCAATTTCACGGCATTTATTCCGAACCGGAACATTTACTACTCGGAACTAAATCATGTTTACGACATCCCTATGCAGTAAGTATTGACACCAAGGAAAGCAGACAAACGACAAGTGAGAAGGTTGGAGCTAACGGTATCTTTTTCACTTGACATTTTGTACAAATAAAATTTGATAATGGTGGTATTAGTGATCTGGGGCTATTTATCTCAGGGCTGGACAATTATATTTAGTGTACTTGTGTGTAATGCAGAGATTCGGAACTTTTTTGTCAGCAAGGCGTGGCATTGTATGTACATCAAAAGTACCGCTTCGTGACATCAGTCGAGACTCAATTTACAAGCTAGCATGATCATTTCCGCGATCCACGAATCAAGGTTATCCATGAATTTAAGTTACGGTTCTGTAACTATAGTATTGTTTATAAAGTTTACAGGAGATTGGAGCTCTGACATATCAAAATGCCATCTGAAACTAAAATTTTGAAAAATAAAGCATTCTGTCACCAACCTGTCTAATTATTTGTTTAAAATGTTTAAAAAGACTTTCATGGTGTAACTGAAACTGATAAGTCTACAATGTGACTTAAAAGTATATGCTTAGACTGTGCCAGCCCACATCACAAGAAACATTTGTCCATCTACCTCAGGAAGACAAACATTCAACACTATCATGACCCATTCTTGCAGTGAATCTTTTGAAGTCGTGTTTTTGTGACTTATGGGCCTTTAATGCTGTTAAAGTCTCTTTAAAGGAAAACAAGTGTTTTTTCTTTCTGTTGACACCTTTTCTCTATGAAATTTGCCATACAGTCGTGATCTGTGCCTTTGGTAGATGTGGGATATTTAAAGGTAGTGAACACCTATATTGTTTTCTTCATTGGACTGAGGTATCTAGTTGTATTGATGAACCAAATGTTGAATATCAGTTCCTTTCAGAATTGTACCAGACTAGAGGTGTATGTCACCTCTTGACGACTCTTGTTCAGACAAGTTAGTAAAATTGTGCTTTTTCTTCTTTTTTTCTTCAGATATTCGGCCCCGTCCGTCCCTCTTCATCCCTGTATTCCTCAACTGCTGGCTTGCCAAACAATCCATGCAGAACATGTTTGTAAGTATGGAGTTATAAAGAAAGTGTTTGTACGTAAAGAGTTATGCAGAACGTCTTTGTAAGTACAAGTTAAGCAGAACATGTATGTAAATATAGAGTTGTGCAGAACACACTTGAAAGTATAGAGTTAAGCAGAACACATTTGTAAGTATAGAATTATGCAGAACACACTTGAAAGTATAGTTATGCAGAACATGTTTGTAAGTATAGAGTTATGTGTTATGCATCGAAGAGAATTATTGAAAGTAGTATCATCACATACAGCAATTATGATTCCTGTTTTAAGCTATTTACAAACAAGGCAGAACTAAAAGTTTCTACACATTTTCAATTATCTCAGCTGAGGAACTTTCACAATATATGGTTCCATTTGGGTTGTTGTCTGCATCTTACAGAAATTCTGCCACTACTTTCATAACCACTGGTTTCAAACTCTTGTCATGGAATTTAAGTTGAATTATCACAGTAATGGGTGAATTTTCGGATGGATTAACTTTAAATGCATTTCATTCCTGACAATTTATAGCACTGCAGAATGTTATTTTTTAGTGGTAATTGGCACTCATTGCTACTTCTCCTCAGAATGACCTCCATCGAGTGATGCAGAAGTCACAGTCTGCCCTGGGCCAGCAGCTGATGGTCCTCTGTGCTACATTGCTCTGCCTAGTCTTCATAAGGTGAGAAGGTGGGGCAGGCATCTGGTGCGGGTCTTCTGGAGGGGCTGGGATTCACTGATTTACACTTTTCATGTTCTGTATGCTGCATGTATAAAGGGGGTGTATGAGGCAACCCTCTTGTGTCATCACATAATTTCAGATAATTTATGCCCGAGACTGGTTATTTCTGGTGTTTTCATTAAAAATGAGACTAATCTGAATGATGATTTAAAAAAATAAATTTATATATTAGAATCATTTTCTGGACTTGCTGGTAGTGTGTGCTCCAACAGTTTTGGCTTCTGTTTTCAGAGAAAACATTTGTACCTCATGCAGTTCTGACTGTAGAAATTTCTTTAAAAATGCAATGTGCCTTTAAAATCAATGGTGTACTTTTTGTAATCTTACATAATAAAACAAACATTTTGCCATCATAACTGCAAGACTTAATCGACACTACACACAGTAACATATTTATATGAAGTTTTATAAAAGACAACCCATATTTGGTTTTCTTTTAATTATGACTGCCTCCGTGGTGTAGTGGTTATAGCGTCCGCCCAAAGAGCGGAAGGTCGCGGGTTCGATCCCCGACCGCATCATACCAAAAGACGTTAAAATATGGTACTTGTTGTTCCCTGCCTGGCGCCCCGCATTCATGGGTACAACAAGGACTGGTCGGCTCAGAGTCAGTATAATGTGTCTGAGTGGGGTATTCATGCTTCACTGCGGCATGGTATCTCAGTGGGCTAGCACTATAAAACCAGCTTAAGTCTGGGTTAGTACAAGCAGCCGCACATACACATACACACGCATGCACGCCGTCATGTGAGCTCAAATTTCATTCTCCTCATCTTTTAATTATATTCACCTTGCTTCCCTCACAATCCTCACTGGTCTACAGAAATGGTAAATCCAGTTTCACCTCTCCTCATCACTTTTACATTATATTTCATATTCCATCAGCCTCACTGGTCTTCCCTCATATTCATCATCCTGTTCTACAGACTGGTCTACAGAAATGGTAACGCTATTTCATATTCCTGCATCAGCCTCACTGGTCTACAGAAATGGTAACGCTTATTTCATATTCACTGGTCTACAGAAATGGCAACGCTATTTCATATTCCGCAACGCTATTTCATATACAGCATCAGCCTCACCACGTGAACTTCAGAACTAATCTCATAGCCAGTATTTTTTTGTGTGCATTTGCAGTTAAGTTCATGTGATTAAACCTCTGTCAAAGAGAACACCATGGATCAAGGAGAAGGAATCTCAAATCAATAGGTTAATTCTGAAAAACGCAATGAACATTGTAACGAAGTATAATGTCATTAACCAAATGGATCAGTGGGAGTGGGTTGTTATAGACTCGCCTTTTTTAAACCCTCAGTAAGATTGCGTAAGTAGGTTGTTTGTTCAGCGAAATGAAGACACTATGCATTTAAACATCAAGGAAAACATTGTTGTAATCAAGAGGAGTAGTTTTGATGTGGAACGGATAAAAGTCTCCAAGCATCCGCACATCAGATCAGTGCTCATTGGCATACCATTGGTTTTGTAGCCATAAATCTTTGAAGCTGTGATAAATGGTTTTGCTTGATTGACATCAACTTCATTTGATAATCAGTGGGGAATTCTTATCATATTTAAACTAAGTTAAGAGAAATATGTACATTCGTCCTCGGTGATTAGTATGCAGTTCATTTGTTTGGGTGATGGGTGCTCAGACATTCAGCCAATGAAGCTGCCAGAAATACTGTTTCTAATATATCTTTTTCTTCCACATAAAAATGTCAGTTCCAGATCAATTTCTGTAGATTTACTTTGAGCACAGGTTACATGATACCTAGTCTACCCTGGACTCCCCAGAGGGCAAATAAGGACATTATGAAATGATAGGAGACTCTCAACCCTGCTCTCTTTACTTCAAATTGACCTGGTTCAATATACTTATCTCTGATTTTTACTCTGAAATGTCATATTTCTCTACATCACGATCACGCCAAAGTCCCAGGTTGGATTATCTACATTGGTACAGTGTGTGAAGCCCATTTCTGATGTTCCCAACTGTGATATTTCTGGAGTAGAGCTGTGTAAAAACTACCTTGATCACTCTCATGGGGGGTGGTGATAGCCTTGTAGTTAAAGCATTCACTCATGTCATAGACCCGGGTTCTCGATTCCCCACATGGGTACAATGTGTGAAGCCCATTTCTGGTGTCTCCTGGGATATTGCTGGAATATTGCTGGAATATTGCTGGAATATTGCTAAAAGTGACATCAAACCATACTCACTCATGTACTTTCATAAGGGTTCCCACAAGACCTGGAAAACCTGGAAATTTCACACCAGTCTCGGCAAAATCATGGAATTTGAAAGAAATGGATGAAATCATGGAATAATCTTTGGTTTTGATGTCTAACAAACTTGTATATGTTAACAGCACTACAAGGACTATAGCAGCCATCAACATGTGTGTCTGGATTAGTTTGCATACATGTGAATACTTGCTTAAATACATATGGTACTAAAATTCTAAACAATAAGATGTATTCAATTGATGTTTCATTAATATTATGCCATGTTATCATAAAGAGGCATGAATGAACAGATGTGAAGCTGTATTTAAGATATTGTTTTATTTCAGATACAGTAGTATATGTTTAAAAGTTTCAAAATACCCCAGGACATATATTGTGGTCCTGTGCAAAAAAGCTCAGGTCACAAATCGGTGAAGTTAAGCAACATTGAGCTCGGACAGTCCTTGGATGGGTGACCGTGTTTGGCTCCTGAGAGTTTCTAGGATTTCAGTCCTGCCCCAAAACGAAGCACATGTGATACATGTGGTCTCACCTTAGGCAAGTGAGTTTGTTCAAAATTGCCTCTGTTCACCCAGCAGGAAAATGGGTACCCGGTGGTAAAAGTCATGTGACTATAACCTTCTAGCACCTAACAGGCAGCTTGGGTTATCCGGGGTAATAATGTGCTGTGCCTTGATTGTTAGCGCTATGAGCATACCTAGTGTGGAGTGTAGTGTGCTATATAAATGGACACATTATTATTATTATTATTATTATTATTGTGTCTGGAAAAAGCAATATTTGTCTTGAAAAATCATGGAATTTATTTTCACAAAGATGTGGAACCCTGTCTCATGAAGATCTGAGCAGGCCTTCATTGGAGGTTGAATCAGGTGACCCTTCTGATCAGTGCTGAGGCTTCTTAATTTTCGGTACAAAGAACAGAAACCACCAGAGCAGCTATTCAAATTTCTGCACCTCAAGAACAAATCTGAATGGTCAGTCCTGATCAGAATTTTATAATGGCCTCATAAATACTGTTGAATATTTATCCACGATGGTAACAAAATTGCAAACCACTTCAGAAAGCTCACTTCTGACCGACTCAGAGAACAATACATCCTTTTTAAAATTTGGCCTTCAAAGTTAGCTCCAGATTCACCCAATACAACTTTCTACAGAAGCGATGTCCAACCCTCACACAGAGATGTGTAGTATAGGAGCAACAGATTGGATTAGAACCTGATTGGCTTTGTGTTTTACATGATTTCCTGCACTGTTGCAAGATCTCTACAGAGTGGGCTGCTAATGGGGAGCCAATCAGATTGTTATCGGATTGACATTTGTTGTTTTTGACTTAATTCCCACTTAGATCTTGTAAGGTCTTAGTTGGAGTTGGGAATCTGGTTTTAATGAGATTGTCTTTGGTTGTTTTTGACATGATTTCCTTTTGAAGATTTGTCAGATCTTTTTGAGGGAGATAGCCTTGTGAGTGAAGGAGATGTTTTTACATTATTTACAGTAATGAATGTGTAACAATATTTGCTTTTTGTAGCTATTTGATACATTTTAAGAACAAACACAAGTCTTTGGTCTGACTTTGGCCGTGGGAGCCATGGCAAGTTACACTTGTCAGAGTTGTACACGAAGTCTGTGATGTAGACTACTAGCTGTCCAACTTCCTGTTTGGTGGAAGCTGTGGCGACTGAGGGGTCAAGATGGCTGACTTTGTGTGCTGGCAGTCTGGTGCCTAGCTCTGAGAGTGTGGGTTTGAATCCCAGATTTGATTCAACCAAACAAAGTACTAGAATTGGTTCTTTACTGAGAAAGTGTAGTCCCAGATATAAGATATGTGGCATATTATGTTGCAGACCAATATTCTTTACATTCAGAAATGTGATCATACGTGGTAAAAGTTGACACGACACTACTATGACATTGTTGGTTACATATACTACTTAAAACAAGTTGAACCACAGGTGATTTAGGGAATAACTGTACTGTGTTTGACGAATTGGGGACGTATACCGGTGGTTATATAGCCGCAAATTTAGTTATATCGGCGACGCGTAATCCCCATTCTAATTCAACTCTTTTTACGCTGTTTTTTCGTGAAAGAAATTCATTATTTAAACCAGGTCAAAGTTCCTCTAGGTCAAAGGTTAATCATATCACCCCTTGAACTTACACCATCGCCAGAAAAAGTAGTTCACTTTTCAAACTTAAACATGTTTATTATGTGCACACTGACTAAATCTGACAATGATGAATAAATCATAGTGTTAAAGCTAAAATGGACGGAGTTATCATGAAACTGCCCTCGTGTTATCAGAAATGAGCGGGCCGCTGCAAATGACAATGGCCCACTGATTCCTCAACTATCGGCCATTATCAGGTGTGTTGTCAAATGACGTCACAGCAGGTGACGTCATGCTCTATAATGACGTCATAAATCTTGTTACATGATCTAACAGTGTTGGGTCAACAGCCCATTGCGAGTTGTTTGAAGTAAACTTACAATTATGATACTGTTTTGTCTTTTTCAACACAAATTCCATCCATTTAAGCGGAATAGGGGAGTTAACATACCTAGGGCTTCTGCAAATGATAATGCCCTGAAAAACAGAGTTACCCCAGTAGTGTAGGAATACATTCAAAGGTTTTGGTGAATCGGTTTTCAACTTGCGTATATGCTGATTATACGGTCGGAAATT